TGAATTGGTCTTTGTTGTACGAGGTCTTTGAGGTTTAGCCCTTGCCGTACTTCTACTCGAAGGCCTCATCACAACTTCTAAGTCACATATTAACACTTGCAGCTTAGGGTCTTTAGAAATAAAACCAAATAGTTTGACCAAGGACTGACGTAAGCTGAGTTTAATTTCACCAACAGAAACAGATTCAACAGCGCCCTGCAAAATTACCATAGTCGTAAAGAGAAGAATGTCAACATCTAATGGGCACTAATCTGCTGACCAAACAAAAATTTCCTAAGCATTGACAGTCATCCAACAAAATTCCAAACAGCATATAGAGGGCCCAAGGAGGGTTAGAGTAATCCCTTCATTTTCTTTTAGGTAGACTATGATCCACTGTAGATGAGTGTAGTAATCAAATTTGTAGACATAACTAAGGAATAGATCTACCACTCAGAGCACTTCAGAGAGATAAATCACAAAACCCCAATTAAACATATCTACAAACAACATACACACTTGCTTTGTAAACAGCTGCTTAGCTCCATATAAAAACCTCAAAACCATCCAAGAAAGGGAAAAGATCATAAAGAACTTCCCATTGGACCGAGAGCCTCAATTAGAAACTCCATTTTAAAACGATAAGTATGAACACCCAAGGAAACGCACGCCTCATGAACAGTCAAAGAAGAATAACTGGGAACTAATTCTGCACAAATGAAACAGTCCACTAAAACCTCTATAAATATACCATTCTCTTCAAAACAAAATTACAAAAATACCATTTTGCAGAACAACCACTGAGTTATATCACATGAGAAACATGAACAAAAATTTTCTGGCATGGCTTATTAATGAGACTAGATTTATATAGAATTACTAATTAAAAGATGCAATCAATTTTTCATTAGTAATTATTGTGAAGTCAGGCTACCATAGGTCTCATAATACTTTTATTAACTTACAACTTACTATAAGGAACAAGAAAAACCCCTTTACTCAGCCATGTCATGATAAATAAATAAGTAAACTGAACCACTGAAGAAAAAGTGAAAACCTTTTTGAACTCCACCACGAGATCCCTTATACACTTCCATCCGCCAAACCGGAATCTGATAGATGCCCCCACTACGCGGCTCAAAATCCAAGCCAGCAACCTTGAAGAAAATCTGCCCAAGAAGCTTAGTGCAAAAACTTGGCAACAAGAACCTATCTAAATCACTTCAAGCCCAGAGAAAGAATGAAAAAGTTTATCCAAGTAATAATGAAAGAGTCCTATTTTGAACCCATAAAATAACTCATCTTAATAACTGATGCAATTATCATCGCCCCGGTCAGTCCTTTGTTTCTTTATTTCAATTTTCAACTAAGTTCCAGAATGGTTCCTTTCTGTATACTGTTCAAAACTTCAAACTAATACACCTATACTACGTATACGCAGAAACCCCCACCCACTTTCACACACACATTGTCTTCACCGGTTTCCAGGGCTGCTAAAACTGTCCCAACATTGCAAATTCGATATCTCAAGCACGCCTGTATGACGAATTTCATTTCCAAAACTAGCAAATTCTTAAATTTATCCCATTTCTAATTCCACAGGCATTGCAATTGGCATCAAAAACTGAATTGCACCCAATAAAATTCATAAAAATAAAACCCGAGTTTGAAGCATTCACATACCATACATACATACACATATACATATATCTTATATGAATGGGTTGTGTAGATGAGGAAAAGAGAGACGTACATGAAGAGGAGCCATAACGTGATGCAAATGACCAAGAAACAGAAGAGGAAATTGACGGGCGAAGCTGCCATTGTCGTCTGCCGGCGACGAGATTGATGATGCGATGAATTTCAGTAAATTGCTGCAGAGAATCGAAAAGGGGAAAGCATTCCGCGCTCATAACTTGATCATGTCATCAAAACCCTAATGGAAAATCAAAGGGAACCCAGCGACAGAGCGACTGACAGTCTTCTTCTTCTTCCCTTCCGTCGCGATCGCTTTGTAATTTTGTATGAGAGAGAAACTTCAGAGGCAGTGCAGATCCGATCCCTGAGGCACAGATCGAGAGAGAGAGAGAGAGAGCGTGGGAAGGCCTGGGATCAGGTGCGGGGCGAGTGTACGGGCGAGTGTTCTTGAGGAGTGTGCGCAAGCGGTAGTATTTTGAGGAGAAAATGGCGAACATGTCCTTTGGAGGTTGGGGCGGGTGAAATAAGTCAACGCGCGGTTTTGATGCACCCGCGACGGATTGCTATGAACTTCCCTTTCAATGATTTTTACTCTCCGTTTACACGAGGAAAATAAAGTTGTAATTATAAATATAGAAATTTTTAAATGAAAAATGTTTTTCAATTGCCATTTTAATTTTATGTAATTAGTTACCATTTTCAAATTTTCATGAATGAGAGTTTAAAACAAAAAATAAAATAAAATTCTTAATCATGAGTGGCCATCATAGCAACTCCGACTACCGTTGCCTCCACCATCATTGTCGCCGCCACATCACCACCATAATCACCAACGCCACCTCGACCACCACCTACCATCTGCACCACCACTACTATTGTCACCACCACTGCTAGCACCCACCATCATCGTCATCTTCCATGTTAATAACGATGATAAGTGGAGTCCCTACCTACACTTCGCTGAACATGGCACGCTTTTTGACCTTGAAATCAAGGATCAAGACATAGTACTAGAGTGTAACATTCTTTCTGCATTTCAAAAGATTTATTGGATAGTCATAACAATTCATCTTAAGGGCATCGCAATCAGAGGCGATCAAAAAATTGTTGTGGAGAAAAAACTTTGGACGACGGTTGCAAGGGGAGGGCTTCAAATGAACATTGCCTCAGGCTTGTTCTAAGCATACTAGTGGGTGCATGGCTATGGGGTCCTTGGACGTTTGTGTTTTGAAGGGCTCACTCAATTCAGTAGCATGTCAAATGTGAGTTCATGCAATGATGATGAAGCTTGTCCCTTGTAATGAACATAAGCAAAGCGAGGTGAACTTTCTTCGTTCCCCATGTTGAAACGAAGGTGAGGGTTTGATAAAGATCGGTACTTAGCCTAGCTAAGTTGAAGAGAGTGTATTTATCAAAGTATCGTTTTTCTGACAAATCCAAATACGTTGGTGAACAAAATCGAGTGGACCTTAAGTCAACGTAATGTGGAGTGTGATAACCTTCGTGAGGATGCTTCAGTCACCAAGTGATGGCGATATGTGAGAGTCCTATGATCCAAGATAGCTTAATTGTGAGGGAGAAGTCTCCTTTCATATATGAGGAGAGTCCCACATTCTTGTTTGTGATAGATGTGGGACTCTAAGAATGTTATTGTAGTTTTGCCACATGTCCTTGAGCAAGTGGGCTCCAAGTTAAAGGAACTTATTTGATCAAGGTTGTTCATGTGCTTTGATAGAGGTGCCTCTAGTGGCTTATCGTACATATTTATCATGCAATTTATATCAAATATTAATACATCGTCAAATAAGCCATAAATAGTTAAGGATTATGAGTTTGACTAGTGCATATTTGTCAACCTCTCTCTTGTGTCAACCAAAAATCTTCAATAAAATCACGGGTTAGTGGCATCTATAGCGTGCATGCGCACAAGTACCACTTGCAATTCACCTTCCAGTACAACTTCCTCTCGACTAACAGTCATTTAATTATGTAGATCATTTGCCGTAAAACCAATTTTCAGGTAACCCTCAAATTGGTTAACCATTTACCTGTACATACTGCAGGTTTTGACAAAAGTTTAGATGAACCTGTTACTGAAAGAAAAATAGTGTGAAATTAGAGGATTTATTGAATAACTCATGCTTAAAATCAAATTAAGGGCGGAAGCTAGATATGCATATATTAAAAAAACTAAATCAATTTCTCAAAATCTTCAAGGCGTAAAGGTTGATGAACCAATTTTTTTTCAAAAAAAAAGTTAGAGAGATGAGATGATTACTCTTGAAGACTCTCTTTAGTTTCAAGAACCAAAGTTAACATCTTTGAGGAAAGACTTTCAAATCTTCATGAATGTTGTCTTCCTTTTTTTTGACGAGGATTCTTCAAAACTACCAAAGAAGATGATTTTAAGTCTCCACCTGAAACATGAACAAAAAAGAAGATGAAATAACCATAAGCTCCTCCTTGTGGTGGCCAGTTTTGGTGAAGGGAGAGGTAAGGGAATGCCAGCTCTACGTCATTCTCTTTCTCATACTAAAAATTAGAGGCGGAGCTACTAAGGGACCAGAATAATCCTGGGCCCATCCTGCCTTTTTTCTTGCCGCAATAACATATTGTTGCTATTGCTTCTTATCAGTGGAATACCATTAAATTCAAGTGTGCCCTTCTTAATCTAAACTCTCTTTTCCTTTTACATGCCTCATTTTTCACTCCATCTCTCTTATTTCAATGCAGACTTCCCTTGCCCTCCTTTTGTTATAACTTTTCTTTGTCATTTCTTTAATCCTTTTGTTATATTTTCAAATCTTTCATGCTTAACTCTTACCTCGTATTCAAATGTTTGAGTTTGTACAATGTTTTTGGTTCTTTATATTGAATTTGATTGGTTTTCCAAATGTGCAATTTACTAGAACTTTTCATGTTGTGAGGCCCATCCTCATATGAAATTCTGGCTCCCCCATTGCTCAAAATCCTAAGTTCTCTTGAACGACGATTAAAAGGACAAGTGGTGGGTTGTGCATGTGAATAGACTTCTTCTTTAGCCAGTTGCATTCTCTATGTAAACTTTTTTTTTAATAAATATAGAAGGTATTCCATCACAAATCACACATTGATGACAAACTAATTATTTTTCATGCAGTTTTAGTATCATATGAGACGGTAGCGTACTTTTGACTTCCGAGTTAAACAGTATGTCAAAGCAGAACTCGTAGCTCTAAAAATAACATTCGTGGATGTTTAAATCCTCTCTTATGTTAGTATAGAATGATATAGTATTATTGTTTGTAATAAATACAAAAAACGATTATTCTGGTTTTATAAAAATAAATAAATAAAACCTCTCAATCATTTCGACGATAAATAAATACAACCTCTAAAAAAAAAAAGAAAAAGAAAACGAAACCTAAAACCTCAATAAAACCTCTCAATCCAGCCTCTCTTCCTATCGCAGGCAACGACTCAAGCTTCTCTCTTCCTCCTCTTCTTCTTCTGATTCATCTTCTTTCTCTCCCATCGAGCTTTACGTTTTGACGATCTTTAGGGTTTTGAAATCTGAAGCTTCAAAACCATGGAAGACGCTTCAAATTCAAACCCAATGTCTGAAAATAGAGTAAAGCAGTGAGTTCAATTTCTCAATCTGCAATTATGCTGATTGGGTTTCGATATTCGAATTCGGTATGATATTTACATTCTGTTGCTTTTTGTTTTTTCAGAGAAGCTCCCCAGCTTGCTGCTTTGTTGAGAGAAATGAAGGAAGGATTAGATACAGTGAGGGCAAAAGTCCAAGCTTTAACTGCAAAGGTAAACGAGTTCCCTCTTCTGGGATCGTTTTAGTTTCACTATCGGTTTATTTCGGTCAAGAAATCTTGTTTCGAAATTGTTCTGCTAGTTTGTAGGCTGTAGGAAAACTGTTTCTGGATTGATAGTGTGCTTCCTTGAGGTTTAATATTAATTTGAGGGATAAAAACTGATTTGACTAGAAGGCTATGTTTCTCTTTTTTCGAAATTTTCCATTTTTTGCAGCAATCTTTTAATACTTGGAGATCATAGGAGTCCCACTGGCGTGTTAGTATAACAAGTATGATTTGCATCAAAGGGCACATGTTTCATTTGTTTTCTTCTCCATGTCAAATGTATCAGGTGAAAGCAAATAATTATCCGACAGCAGACGGGATAAGCTATCTTGAAGCCAAGCATTTGCTGCTTCTAAACTATTGCCAGTCACTTGTCTATTACTTACTTCGTAAGGCTAAAGGGTTTTCAATAAATGGGCATCCTGTTGTTCGTAGCCTTGTGGAGATAAGGTTGTTTCTGGAAAAGGTCTGGGCCTCTGGTGATCCTTTTTTCTTTTTCTTTGTCGTTCTAGTAACCGTGTAGTCAGTTATCAATCAATTCGCACCCTTTTTGTGTGCAACAGATTCGACCCATTGACAAGAAGCTCCAGTACCAAGTTGAGAAGCTCACCAAGGTTACTACGAGCACAACCGAAGATGTAGGGCCAAGTGGGAAGGAACCACAACCCAATGTGCCTCAGCAAACAGATGATTTGCTGAGATACCGCCCTAACCCTGACATGCTTGTTAGCAAAACAGATGTGAATTCTAAGGTGAAATGCGCATCAGTACAATGTTTGAATTCCTCTTTTGTCATCTGCCAAACAATACTCGAGGTTTCTTCTTCTATTTTGTATATTGTAGGATGGTAAGGATGTGTATCGACCTCCCAAATTTGCCCCGACTTTGATGGAGGAAGATAAGTTGTCAAAGCAGGAAAAAAATGCATTGAGAAGGGATAAGAATACTTTACGACAAGCTAAGCAGAGTGCTTATGTGAGGGAACTGGTGGATGATTTGGAGGGGAGGCCTGAAGAGGTTTGTTGTGGCCTGTTTTTGTGGAGTTACCAGGCATGACTGCTGGATATACTGCTCTTGTAACTGCTGTTTTTATGTCAATTACAGATTGTAGAAAGTGTTGGAGCTGAAAGCATAGAACTAGCGAGATACAGGGCAAAGAGGGATGAACGTGAACGGCAAGAAGAGGAACTTTTCATGCGTGCTCCTATTACAAAGAAGGAGAAACAGAGAGAAAAACACTTAAAGAAATCAAGAAATGGGTAATGGTCATTTGAGAAATTATTTATGATTTTCCTTTTCGATTATTCCAAATTTATTTTTCTGTATGGATGGCTGTTCTGAATCGTTTCTATCAGGTTGCTTGGTTTGACGGAGAATTTCTATGATGAAATTAAGGGTTTACCCTTGGACGATGAGAATGATGAGCAGGTTGCAAGCTCCCGCAGTGCTAGGGGTGGAATGGGGAGGCATAAGAAGCGCAAGGTATGTCATAATCTCTTAAAAAGGAATCAAGTTTAGTTTGTGAAATATGTGTCCCTCTTTTGTTCTGAACCAACTGCATTTGTGAACCTCTGTTCCCCTTGGACTTTTTCTAACGTGCAAATTCAACGTTAACTGTTTTATATTTCCATGAAGTTGTTCGTTTGTACTAAATATGTGGGTATAAATTTAGGACGTGAATGGCCGTGTTATACAAGCCTATTGGAAAAATTGGAAAGCATGTCCTGTCCTCACAGGAATATGCGCGTATAGACTTCTGTAGGCAGACCATTTAGTGATATATGCGTCTTTATATTGAATACTCGAGCCTCAGTATAATGTGGAAAAGTACTGTTTTGGTATCTGAACTAAGTCTCTGCCGATTACTGATTGTACCATCTTCATTAGAATATTTGGTGGTGGGCTATAACTTGCCATGCTTAATGCATTTCTTACTTAGTCACAACTCATCTAGGAACGCCTGCATTTCTTTTTCTCGTTCATGTTTACGTATGGTCAGAGTCTTGAAGCTGCACAAAATGACACCTATAAATTTACTGCAGAACACTTCCTATTGTTCTCCCTCCTATCAATCCATATCATGCACGTGAATTTTTCTTGGCATTTCATGTAATATCTTGATAGAGCAGCCCAGCTGGTGAATGTTACGTATGGTAAATCTGTCTAGAATCAAGACCTTCACTGAAATTAGCTACAAGATTGTTAGGGTTTTGACGCAGTCGAGTTATCTCTAATGTGTCTAATTACCGGATGTACCCATTCCTGAGTGATTAATTTGGTGAATGTTTATCTTAATTCTCAAATCCTTTTAGCAAGCTGCTGGATTATTTCTGTTTTTGCCCGAACCAGTACCATCAAACCTTCTAAATTATCCAGCTGGCTACTCGGGTTTTCTTGTGTGCATGAGTTTCTAGTATTCAAATTTTTTCTTCTTCCATATTTGCGTTTATTTATTCATGGCTTCAGTCGGTTTTATGCTTTATTTGATTTTATGATATTATCGCAAAGGCATTGACACTTTCGACTGTTTGTGCAGATGAGGCGTTGAAGGAATAGCGTATGCCGAGCTTGACAACGCCCAACAATTTATTTGCCGGGCCAAGCTCCGATTGCTCCAGTAGCATGAAATAGCTTTCCTACAAATCTCAAGTGTTTTTCTTTTGGCGGCAGTGTGTGCTGATTGGAACGCTGGAGGGTTCCAACTTCCAAGTAGGGAACAAAATTTTGTTTGGACCGATTAGAGTTGTTTGTTTTAATCTTTTTGTTCTTGCATCTAACCCTACACCAGAGAAATTTTACTTGCTTTATCTCGTGTCAATCTTGCATGCAATTACCAGTCCGTAAATTACGATTGAAGCTCCTTTATACGACCGCATCTGCACAAGTTTTTCTTTCGATTCTTGTTCAACATGACCCGTTTGAACGAGGGCGGAACAAAATGAGTTATATTCCAGTTCTTAAAGAGAGCGTTAGGGAAAAGGTCATGCTCTTTACTGGGATTGAGTAGGATACAATACTGGACTGGACGTGACTTGAGATACATTTTTTTTTTTTTCGAGTATAACGATATATTTTACATATTAGAGGAGGGGGGCAATTAGGCTATGTCACACAATAAGCAATCTAATGTGGTATCGAATTTGTCATCTACGAGGTTCGAACTTTAGACCTCTCACTAATGAGTGAAGAAGAATACTACTAGACCATAATATTGAATGGTAACTCGAGATACAAATTGAATATCATGAATATATAACATCTTTCAACACTTGAGTTGGTATTGTAAACTAATTTCAAGGCACATCCTTGGCAGGCAGGGTAATGTCAAGCTGTCAACTTATGCACTTGATGTGGTCATATTATCAGGTAATATAACCCTCCCTCTTCCTTGGGAGTCCTCCTCTCCTTTCTTTTTGTCTTTATTTTATTTATTAATTTATATAAACTCCTATTTTACTATCTAAATCAAACTCGAAACGTCTGTAACTTCTTTGTTATCGTCTGGATTTGCAAACAATTTCGCCTATGCACTCGTGTGATCGCACTCTATTCGAAAATATTAGGAGTGATCCCCCGAAGATCTACGGATTTTATATGATTATTTTCGAAAAATCAATTTGTAACTAAGTAATTAAAATCTAAAATAAATTAAATTAGATTAAATTCACATAATAATATAAAAGCCCATAAATATGAAATACGTAAATTATAATAGTGAAATCCAGGAACGGGTTTTCACATTGGGGGTGTTTGATGAGCCGATATTATACTATATATTTTACTGTATGTTTTGGTATTTATTTTGGTTGAATTTTTATACTTTGATTTATATTTCAAATATAGGACATTCAACTTCATCTTGAGAAAAAAGTATTCAAATGGATGAATTTTGGAGTGATTTCATTAAAATGATGTTTCTGAGTCTCTCAACTTGTTTGTCTCAAAGTTACAAATTTTTCTAAGGAAAACTAATGAAGGGGGTTTGAAAACATTGAATTTTAACGATAAGGACAAAATAAAAGGTAAAGTGAATAGTATCATGATTGACCTTTTAGTGTAAAAATATGGTTTTTCGTTAAAGTGAACAGTACCAGGAGCTTTTTGTTAAAGTTCCCATTTTTCTATCCATCAATTTATTTATAGTGATGAAATCAAAAGGAGCAGTGTGTAGGGTTGTTAAAGTGACGTTTTGAGCTTATTTGGGCTTTGTGGCGTCCAAGATGGTGTCTTTTGCTATTGGTTTCCTCTTGGAACTTGGAGAGGATGTCCTAAGCTTTAATTCAAGTAGTTTTGGGCCTGATTTGTAGCCTTGAGGTCTAGAAACGTGGCTGATTTTTGGCTGGGCAAATTTCCATATTTGATTAGGATTATGTTTATTAGTTTCTCTTTTTCCATTTTGTTTCCTAGTTTTTGAAAGATCTGTTCTAGGAAGTATTTTATTTTGTAGGAGTATAGATAAAGCTGTTTAGCCATTTGGGTTTTGAACGCATCAATTTGGAGAATTATGCTAGGCTTTGACGATTTGTATTCTTCTCTCAAGATGTTTTCTATCCTTTTTCTAGTTCAATAAAATTCCTTTTGTTTTATGATTTTTTGTAACTAATTTTCTTTTGTAACGAAATCATGAATATTTTGAATTATTAATCACGTGTTTAAATTGTCTTTATTTCTTAATGATCAACTACCATTAGAATGTTTCGATAAGAAATCGAATGCAATTCGATCAGAATATCATCAGAGGATTGAGTGTTGCTTTTTGTGATTGATAATTGTAATTTCACATGTTCTTAAGGGTTGCTTGGTTTTTCAAAGCGTTTTTACATATCTTAATGAGTCTTACATGTTCACATTTGATTTAAATACCACAGACGTATTGCATGTTAGATATATGTTTTGGCTTGAATATGAATATATCATGAGGAGAATATGTATGAGGAAAACCTAACATTCAAAATTGCATGTTTAATTCATAAGTAATTAGTAAAATTACATAGGATTATTAAGATAAATACGGAACCCTAATACTTTTACAACTTAATTTTTAAAAATTGTTTACTTTTACTTTCCTTGCTTCGCTACTTTCTCTACTTGTTTTAATTTAAATTTGTTTTCAATATTTTAAATTCCCAAATCAACGTTTTCTAAACTTTGTTTTCAAATAATTAATTAAAGATTAGTTTAAATACAAATTATTCATTCAATTCTTGTGAAGGACGATATTGCTTAAGCTGCTATATTACGCTAAGCTTTGTATATTTTGTAAATTGCTTCCGCCGGCTCTAACATGGTGTAGCGTTGTTTCAGGTACAACGCTAAGCACAAGAACATGTTTTGGGTGGATACCAGCTGTTCTATTTCTTAAGATTTTAATTATGACAAACAATTTTATTTTAATTTCATATTTGGTTTGTAATTTTAACAAAAATTATGCATAGTTCAACAAAATTAAAATTTCAAACCAAATATGAAATAAAATAAAATTGTTTGTCATAATTAAAATCTTAAGAAATAGAACAGCTGGTATACACCTAAAACATGTTCTTGTGCTTAGCGTTGTACCTGAAACAACGCTACACCATGTTAGAGCCGACAGAAGCAATTTACAAAATATACAAAGCTTAGCGTAATATAGCAGCTTAAGCAATATCGTCCTTCACAAGAATTGAATGAATAATTTGTATTTAAACTAATCTTTAATTAATTATTTGAAAACAAAGTTTAGAAAACGTTGATATTGAGTGAAAAGGAATACCACCAAACCTTACGAGTGAAAAGGAATACCACCAAACCTTAATATTGAGTGGCGACTCGATATACAAATTGAATATCTAGAATATATATAACATCTTTCAACACCGTAGTTGGTAATGTCAACTAATTTCACAGCACATCCTTGGCAGGCTGGGGTATGCTGTACAGAGTAAGACCCAACACAAGAACCGCACTACCGAAGAGGAAAAAGGGGCTCAAAGTTGAACCTCCTTCCATATACGGCAAGGGAAGGGAAAGAACATAAATTGATATTGGCACTGCAACATAAACGAAAGCTTATGTTATAAAAACTTTATTCAAAAACATAGGTTAGTTGCACATTCTTGTATAGATCAATGACCATGAAGCGCATAAGTGCTTATACGCATGGGCACATATTGCGTGACAGTGAATATCTTTTTAGTCCTCTATGCTTAAGCATCCAATCGAAAAGCCAAAACTGTTAAAGTGCAGAACCAAATCAGAGATATATATCGCTCTACTAACTACTTAACCACCGATTGTGGGATGGTACTATAAGAATCTCATGTGGGACCTTTCTTTTAGGTGGTCATCCACGTGGACAAGTTACGAGTGGTTCTCATGTCATGTGCGGTCCCTTTAAAGGTTTAAGGTTAAACTGTTGGGTAACTGGTGGTCATCCAACCCAAAATCTTAACCTTTAGGGGTGGAAAGGTCAACTAAGTATATGTAGACTATAAAGATATACCAGGTACTTGGCATAACCACAACAGGGCTAGCGCCTAACAATGAGTATTTACATACAAGTGTAAAAGAGAACGAACCTGACAACATCACGATGAGAGAAGCAACAACTGCAGAGGAAATCTTTACGACATTCAGCAATGATATGTTGAAAAACAGATTGGTAGCTATATACAGCAATGGTAGTAACGGAGCCCCATTGCAACCTGACACAAGTGACAAATGTGTTGGTAAGAATTTGAACCCAAGAAAACCTCAAGAAGCTTTTAACATCTTGACGAGAATTATCACATCAGAATAACCACTTCAACCAATTGAAATTGAATTACATGACAGAAAAAATTCGTTCTTTTTTACTGCCAGCATTCAAACTGAGATTTTATGTGAAGTGCATGATTTCCCATCATTCCTAAATGTTATGCAACCATGTAAGTAGATTTTCTCATCACCACCTAAAGTTCACTTGCAATGTTCACATGAGTTCATGATATACACTATTCAGATGTAACTTGGTGTCAAAAGCTTTTACCATTCTTGGGATGCTATTTTAAGCTTTGCTCTTACTAGTCGATGTTTCCCGTTCGTAATGCAATAAAAGTCTTTTTCATTCATTGCAGTCATCCATTTAAAAGTAAGAACAGGTTAGAGAAAATCATTCTGCACATGCTTGATATGACAATAGGTGTTTTCAGATTATGAACAATAATTTTCAGCTCACTTATGGACTGGAAAGTAGATACTCAATACAATCCAGGTATTTTAAAAGACTACAGACGAAAAGAAAAAATGATATGACAGCTTGCCTGTTGTATCGGCTCCAATATTCAGAAAGCAACAAGCACCATCTTTAAGATATGAAGGAAGTTGCGCAAATGGTATGCCTCTCAGGTTTGACAAGAAAGGTAGAAACAGAAGAACAAAAAGAGCCTACAAGTCGCAGGAAATAAAGAATAATTTCAGCAAAACCAGTCGCCAACCAGTATCCTGTCAGTTAAATTGAAATTTTATGTGCAGGACTTTACGGTTAACCTGAGTAAGCAGACGTAAGGTGTGGATACATATGATAACAGTGAGGGAACCCCAGGCATTTGAAAGAATATAAATAATCCCATATTGATGTCCATTTTCAAATTAAATGGAACTTCATCACCTCTAAAAATCTAGTTAAATATCGGCGCAAATCTTTCTAGTTCTGGTAGGGTCTTGTGGTATAATTAACGGGGCCCACCATACTAAGGTGCATCAAGATTACAAACAAGACAACAATATATAAAAACTATCTTATAAAAATGTAGCAGTCACCTGAAATCCAGATCCAAAAGAATTGACAACAAATATGTCAAGTGACTTTTCCTGCAATGTAAAAAGGTTTATGACTTAGAAAGTATGCACAAGTAGTTATGTCAACCATAAAGTTTAGAAGGCTAGATAACAATTTGAAAAGATGAGGAAATAGCCATACCTTAAGGTGGGCTGCAGCATCAACAAAGACAAACTCCTGTTTGAAGACAAAAAATTCAAGATAGATTATTTTGCTATAAAGGGCACCACTGAACTTTTAACAAATGTTCATTGCTTTAACCTTGATTATAGATGCACCGGCTTGAAAAGCACTTGAAGCAATCATTAGTGCTGGCCATATAGACTCAACTCCAGATAGCATCTGACCAGAATCAGAGCCACTGCAATTTCATTACATATAACTATCAGAAGCCTTACTTTATAACATGTCACAATGAAACTCAAAGAGTGCAAGATACTCTAGTTTATGACACTGCAAATTTACTTTCTAAGAATATGAAATTTACCAACAACGTTCGCCATCTCAAGTTAAAATTCAGAGAAAGTGTCCAGTTAAAGCATTGCTAAAGTTGGATAATAAAGAAATTGGCACTTGACAGACTTTATTAACCAAGAAGGAAGAACAAAACCGATAAAAAAATCGTAAGAATAGAGGAGGGTCATGAAATACATGCAGCAGTAGAAATATTTCAGTTTATTTAGAAAAAACTTCATTCATAATCAAAATCACCACTAAGTGAAGACAGAATATTGGTAGCCATTATAACATAAAATGATAAGGTTGTTCGTATCCTAGGAAGTGCAATAAAGATAAAAGGATGCCACAAGGAAAAAAAAGGTGATATCTAACAAACTCTCAAGGAAAGTGCAGAGCAGGCATGCTTGTTAGAAGTACAATCTTCAGGCAGACATTCAAAACAGGGTGTTAAACTAATCATCAGCAGAATAAAAATGAGTTATTTTGCCTTTCTTTTCAACAAAAAAATTCAGGCATTTAATCTAAAATTGCATTTGTCAGAGAGATGAAAACACAGAACAGACGTCAAACTGTTCAAACATTGGGCACAATTCTTTCTTCTGAACTGTTCTCTTCAAGTTTATACATGTAATCAGTATATCGTTGAGCCCATTCAACTTTTCTGATCTTTGCTTTGTTATTATCTGGAACACAATGTATAAATATGCAGTTAACATTTGTAGGCATGGCATCAGTTTAAAGAACACCACATCCAAGTGACTACTAGTAATGGCCTTGAAAGATCTGTATCACAGATCCTTCAGCTTAACTGACAGAAGAACTGGACAATATTAAAGATAACCAAACACAGTAGCAGCTCTTTAATCTGTGGAAGAATGGATCAAGGTACCTTGAAACAGCCGCTGCTACACCTGTAGCTACCAGTATGCAGCCAACAATCTGATTAAATGTGTATGTTCTCCCCAAGAGAAGGGCAGAAAAACTCAGCTGCCACACCAAAAACGTCTGCACAATGTGGAGACGGTAAAAGCTGAGAAGAGGAAATTGCAAATATAGGTATAATAAGAAAACAAGATTCCAAGTAATAGACCCATTATGCCTTTGTTATGAATCTGGACTAAAATAAATGTTCGATATACCCTTTGATTTTCACATTTTATTTTCATATTTCTACCGCACTGTATTATAACCAGAGAAACCATTCTCCAATTATTAGAGGAGAGCAGAACAAAATTCTACAGCCCTGCTGAGTTCTTATCTTCTATTTGATCAACAAGTAAAGGAAAGTAAAAGGTAAACAGAACTTCTAGCACCCAAATATTTAATAATTATTCATGCAATAAATTGGTTCAGTCCAACCTGAAAGAATCTAATCCTTGACCAAATTAAGCCTGGCTTACGCAAAAAAAAAAGGCTCAGCTGCTAGACATTTAAATGGCAGTTACAGAATCACATCCAACACAATAATGCATTATAAGAGAGTTTAGACTTATTTTCCTCTTTCTATAAATCTTTCAGGAAACTAAATGGTAAGGAAAGTTCCTTATACTTCACTTCTCTAGAGTAATATTTTACCACAAAATTATCTTGACCTCAAATGAAGCAACAATGACCCCAATAAAACCCTTGGCCATCCCATACTACCGCATGCCTGGTATCTATTCATCCACCTATTATCCTTTAAGCATTTTCGTCATAAACACTGCTCTCATTGCTTATAAATTATATTCTCTCACGAAACAGATTATACTTCTAATTACATATGGTATGCCTCCATGCTGCTGATGTCGATGGGGTAGCCCTCCAATCCCGAACTCCAATACAAGATGGGTCTAATTTCCTATTCCAGGGCATACACATCCAAAACAGTTTAATATGTTCTTAAGCACATCAATCCATAGTAGGTGAAATTGTGGACAAATTTCCATCAGGCAAAACCTGGTTTGTATACCATGCATAGTCCTAATTCTTCTTCTTCTTATTTTACTACTTTTTTCTGGGATAGCAGAAAATACCTGACTCAATATGGGTATGGCTGGTCCGGGAAGCATGGCTGTCGAGGACAAGTAAAATTCAGAAAAGCAAACACCAAAATCATCACTAATAACATACACTTCCTGCTTCATTTCTCACCACAAACAAAAACCACGAAGATCTAGCTTAAATTTTAAAACACCATTCAACCATATTTTTTTTTGGGGGGGGGGATGGAACCACTCAACCAATTAAACAGGATAAAATAACTCACAAAACACAAATTTTGACATTACCAAACCAAAACAAGAGAGAAAAAAGAATGGTACCTGCAGCAGCCATTCCAGAAGCAACTCCAAGGGCTTCTAGGGCACCAATGGCGGCAAACCGTGACTTGGGAAGACCTATCATTTCGTCGGTAACAACCCCAGAACGGTACCGTACGACCAATATCGAAAAATATATCACCACGTAGCTGTAACCAAAACAAACCCACTATTCTTCTCACATCACAAAAGCAATAATTCCCAGTAAATTCGAAAATTAAATTAAAAATTAACAAGGATTAAAGAGAAATGGTCGGATTTTCATACCCGAAGGTTGTGAATTGGGCCAAGAAGAAAGGGTGGCTTTTCATGGGGACGAGGGCCAGCTTGTAGAACACGCGGTTGGCGACGGCCAGAGCTATGGTCAATGCGGAGCTCAAAACGACGCGTTTTGTAATGGTGGAGGTGGAGGAGGAGGACGAGGGCGGCTCTGGGAGCGATGCTCGGGCCTTTACATTGCGAGTTGCCGGTGAGGGACTGCGGGAGGAGCGTTCAGAGGTGTGGTGAAGCGGTGCGTTTTGAGGGCGGCGGTGGAGAGAGAGTCGAGGCCTTTGAAAGAGCGGCATTGCGGAGGAGGAGAGAGAAGGGAAGGGGATCGCGCCATTTTTGACGGTGCAGTGCCGGGCGTGAAAAGGGGCGGAGAAGAAGTGGTGAAACGACGACGTGGTGGTCATTGAATATCCCATCAGAGCGTTTGGACTTCTGGGTTGTGACGTGGTGTTTTATTAGGGAAATATAGATATTTTTTTTTTTTGGAAAACGTGCAACTACCATATTAAAGTGCATTTATCAAAACATCACGTGTGAATTCGGCATGCTGAAAAACCGACTATTTATTTCAAGTGGTATAATACAAGTAGTTAAATATTAAATTTTTTATTTTCTTTTAAAAAACACAATAATATCAAACTAATCCTAGCATTTTCGTCATACCGCAAACAAAGCAAAGGATCACGCAATATAAGAACGTGGATTGGCTAAGCAAATAACTTAAACATCAATTTGGAATTAAACGCAAGGAATTACACCATAGAAGAACGAGGAATTAAACGCAATTACACAACTCTCTCTAATGATTGAGCTTTCAGAGAGTCGGTTCTGTTCAAAACTCCCGAACTGAACAACCATGTAAAACCGATCTCCATACCGAATGTTTCGGGGCTCGAAATTTCGGGGATCAATCTGTTTTGGGTATTTTCAGTTCAGATAGAATCGGGTTGGGTCAAAATTTTTCGGTTTGCGATTTCGGGAGAAAAATCTCAACCCACCATTTACCCCTTATCATTTTTCGAATTGACCTCTATGGTGTAAAAACGGTTGGTCATGCCATGTGACGAAGTCTGTTGGCAATGATGATCAAAATTGCAAGTTCCATTTTCCTTCCGCAAAAAGATTTTTCAAACCCATTAATTTACTCAACCAATTATAAAGCAACAGATAAACATGAATTTTTTACTTCTGTTTTTTTCAGAACTAAAGGAGGAAACCCTGACTTCCCCATCCTATCTTCTTCCCCCATCCTCTCTTACGATCTTACCACCGCCGTTAAACACAGACCTACCACCGTAGCCACTCCGTAACCATGTTTGCATGCTGTCTAGATCACGATCAATACTGAGGCAAAGAGACTTAACTTTTGAAGACATGGCCGTCGTAAAAGAAATGGCGGTCGAAAAAGAACTCTTCTACTCACTTAAAGGCTTGTATTCTTATGGTGATAGCCTCAGTGACGTAGAACATATTCTCTGCGAGCAGGGAATTCATTTATATATACATACAATGGCAGCCAACTTTTATCTATCGTGCAGGTTGATTGTTCATCCAACGCATCAAATCCCGATCATGTTTTTTTTTTTTTTTTGTTAAACGATAATTTTGTTAAATTAGATGTTAGGTTATGGAGCCGACAATCGTGTTTTGAGTAGCTATAAGTAGTGCTAGGTTTCAGAAGCACGTTGAATGTACTTTCTCAATTATAGGATATCGTTTTTACACGTATGCAAACTCTAAAACTGATTTATATTTACAATATATTAATTCACCTTTATCATAACTAATTCAATAGAACGTTAACTAGTTATGGTTTGACAAAATATGCTCATGACAAAATCATTCTTTAATGATCACCGTGAGTTTTACACAATCTACATCTTATAAACATCTTCCAGCATTCATTTGAAAATTGAACTCCAAAAAATTATGCATGTATCAATACTGCATTAATTCACCCCGGAATCACAATATCCAAAATCATACCATATGATGCTACGATATATATACATTCCAAACAATGAACTGTCGATAAAAATCACACCTATCAGCAGAATCAAAACTATCATGGACACTCATATTTTCGACTTGCCCTTGAAAGTTCCCACAACCAGTGGCTTTGTCAAATGATCAGCTAGCATCAGTTTCGTATCAATGTGCCCAATTTGATAATCGATTATGTAACCTCATTGTATAACCATGTAAAAGATTAAGAAAATAACCAAGATTTCAAGTCTTTGGACAAGAAAATAGTCAACTTAATTCTCTTAAAAATGTTATACCCCGAAAACATTCATACATTCCTTTCTTTGGAAAAAAAATATTGACATGTTCTGAGTTTTAAAAACCATAATTTACACAAGTTTGCATTACAAAATCTTGCTAAGAAGTATTCCTGAAGGAGTGAAGGTTAGTGCAGAAAATATTATCATAAAAGACTATTGTTATGAGTGCAACAATCCTAAGAAGCCAAGAAACATTAGGCAAAGAAGTCATCCATCATAAAATGATTATTTGGTCAAATACCAATTAACTAATCTTTAACTCAAAACTCAAGCGGCCATGAAAACAAGTTATTTAATATGCATGTTTATGTCAATTGAGAAAGAGACATAAATTGCCTTAATTCTTTACTATATAGCTATCACACAAAAGATAGAATAATGCTTTAATTAACTAATGCCCAAAACTTTGTAAACAATATGATTAGAATAGAATTTATACACTTATTGTAAATAAGTTAATAAGTGTGAAGCGCAATTTTTTCACTAATTCTCTCAATTGGAAGCGCTCATTAATATATTCTTTCAAAGAATGTACTAAATAATACTGCTTCATATATTCTACATAATAGAAAATATATCACCACCAACATAAAGTTGTCAAACTGAATTCCAACAATACGTATACTTGTGACAGCCCATCTCGGACTTTTCGTACTGTAGGGGTGAAATGACGGTTTTGCCCCTAGTATGTTTGTTTCCTTGTGTGGTCATTTTTGGGTTTTGGTTGGTTGATTTTGGACCACACACACACCCACACTCATTTCTCTCTCTCTACCCTGTCCCGAGTCCCTCTCTCTCCCCCTTTCCTATCTTCTTTGTACGGAGAACACCCAAAACCTTTGGAATCTTCACGGATCGAGGAAACAAACTACATATTTGTGCTCGTGAGGTCCTTAGGAGTTCAACCATACCCATTTCAGGTAAGGATACCTTCGTTTTCATGTCGAACCCGAGATGTTCAAATCGAGGTGCTGTTCATGCACACGTTAATTCTTGTGTTTTTGGGAATTTCAAGCTTGTAGGAAGCTTGGTGAGGTCCTTAGGAGGCTCGGGGTGGTTCATTTGAAGGTTTTGGACGTCAGGATAGTGAGTTGCAGGTTTGGCTGGAGTTGGTGGTGTTTTCCCGATGAGATTCCGGTGGTTTTAGTGCTTGAAAGTGGTATGAATTTGTTCCTCTTGTTGTAAGCTTCATTTTGGTACAAATTTTGTGAAAATTGGATGAAAAACGAGTGAGATATCAAGCTTTAAATTTTTCCCGGTTTCCGGCGTCGGAGGTTGACCGGAGAAGATGACGGAACATTTCGTCAGTTTGGACGGAATATTCCTAACGACGTTAACGGAATCAGTTAAATTTAACGGAATATTCCTGACGGCGTTAACTGACGCCGTCAGTGTGCCAGGCACATGCCTGCGCGTGGGCGGCGCGTGTTGTCACATCCAGGCCCGGGGTGGATCACTTCCCCGGCCCGCTCCACCACCGTAACACGATATTGTCCGCTTTGGGCTTACCATTCCCTCACGGTTTTGTTTTTGGGAACTCACGAGCAACTTCCCAGTGGGTCACCCATCATGGGATTGCTCTAGCCCCCTCCTCGCTTAACTTCAGAGTTCCTACGGAACTCGAAGCCAGTGAGCTTCCAAAAGGCCTCGTGCTAGGTAAGGATGGGAATATACATATAAGGATCACTTCCTTAGACGGTGTGCGATGTCACAATCCACCCCCCTTAGGGGCCCGACGTCCTTGTCGGCACACATACAGCCAGGGTTAGGCTTTGATAACAAATTGTCACATCCCGGCCTGGGGTGGACCACTTCCCGGGCCCGCTCCACCACCGTAGCACGATATTGTCCGCTTTGGGCTTACCATTCCCTCACGGTTTTGTTTTTGGGAACTCACGAGCAACTTCCCAGTGGGTCACCCATCATGGGATTGCTCTAGCCCCCTCTAGCTTAACTTCGGAGTTCCTACAGAACTCGAAGCCAGTGAGCTCCCAAAAAGCCTCGTGCTAGGTAAGGATGAGAATATACATATAAGGATCACTTCCCTGGGCGGTGTGCGATGTCACACGTGTGGCCGTGCCTTGGCCAGCATGTGGGGACGCGTGCGGTGTTGGAAAATTATTTTTAAAATATGGGGATGTTCGTGAGGTTGAGTAGATCACGTTGATGTATTCATACACCCCATTTGAGCATTGTATGAGAAGTTATTTCGTAATGTTGGTTATGTGCTTTAAAATTTACGTTTTTTATAGTTGTTTCGCATATAGGTGAGACCTATCCCGAGGACGAGCGCGGTCACTCGAGGTAAGGGGGTTACAACCATTCTACATACCAGTAAGTGGGCTTTTGGTTTTCCGTATATACCTATATACTTGCGTTTTTCCTAGAAAGTGAAATGAAACGTTTATATGTTTTATATGCCATGCATTATTAGTTGCATATATATATGTTTGGTGTTGCGGATGCACATGTAAGTGTCAGGTAAGTTATGGTTTATGTTTATGTTTAGTAGCAATTTGAGATGCATAGAGAGCTCATAACCTGCACCCCCGGTGTTAGTGCTCCCGCCCAGAGTTGGGCATAGTCCTTCACATGATGTTCACCTCCCGCACCACACGCTCATCTTGGATCCAAGTTAGGTGCGCAGTCCTGTTGTACAGACCACTTTAGGTGGTTCCGACTCGTAGGTGACCCGCGATTATTCGCCCAGTCTTCACGTGATCGTAGCACTTGAGCGTACTTACTTTACACCCAGTCCTGTCATACAGACCACTTTAGGTGGTTCCGACTCGTGTGCAGGTGTAGTTAGTGAGTTGGAGATTTGAGCTCTAGATTCAGCCGAACAGGTCACGTTAGGTGACTCCGGCTGACAGATTACATGGCATTGTTTGGCATTACCTGAGTACTTGCATTTTATTTCGAGGCATTTGGCACGGCATATTTCTTAGCATGATTTATATATATGTATATATTATATTTTTCTGGGAAGTATACAGGTTTTACGGCGAGGCGTTAGAACTTTATTTATGAAATGATTTTTAAAAAGCTTTGTTTTTGCCCACTCACGCTTTCTATTTTGCGCCCCTCCAGGTTCTAGTTGGCTAGCACTTTTGGTGGCTCCCCAGAGGATTTTCTTGGCTTATCTGACAGATTATCACCAGTGTAGGACCACCTTTGGGTGTGTTTATTTAGTGTTGTTTCCCCCGGACTGCACTAGGTCTTTTGTGCTTTGAACTTTGTTTTCACACTTGCGCTTGCATATGTATGTTATTTACTTTGTGTATAGCTTGGTTTTTATTTATTCATACTTTTATTATTATTTCTTAGCTTCTGCACTGTGCACATGGTTACGTCACTTCCACGTGACGGCCAGCATGCCCTGATCTCGGTCGGGGTATGTCAATACTTACTTTAGAATTTACTATAATTATTCATAAGTTTGATTATTACCAAAAATATACAGGTCAAGCTAGACGTACTAATCTTCATAGTATAAAAACATAGAGCCGTTTTAGGTAAAAAAAAAAAAAATAATAATCTAAAATGACGTCTCAAAGGACCAATGTAATATGCCAGCATAATTGCCTATATTGGATCGGTTCATGCTTTGGTGAGCAAGCGCAACAGCCCGCTTTTGGCTGACATTGAGTGGTATCATGGTGCAAGACGATTCCACATATCGAGATCGGAATGGGATCGGGTGTTTTAAAAAAAAAACGGCCCTTGCTTCTCTGCCAATTTGTAGAAACCTAGTAATATAGATACAACATGTCGAAGTATCTGACACATCAAGATGTGGAGTGTCTATGCAACCTAGGCTTACATTATACTATTCACACACCCCTTAAGTTCCTTTTTTTACCATTTCAAGTAAAAAAGTAAATCAACAATGCACCATGATGATGAACTAGTACTCTTTTTCATTTTAAATGTTACTATATATATATGGCTGCCACCCCGGGAGCGGCAGGTCTTGACTTCCATCTAAGTGGAGCCAATGATGCCACAGAGCAAAATGTTGACCGTGTTGCAGCTTATAGAAATTTCGTTGAAGCTCTCTGAGATATATTGGTTGGTCCAAATGCACAAAGAGTATATGGATTTCGTGTGCTTCATGATGCATCAACGTTACAATATTGACAACGCTTCCTACAAGTCTGGGTTTTCAACTACAACGAAGATTTTACCATCGTAATTATTAATATTGTCAATGTTTATGTGATGAGATTCATCACCGGTAATGTACGTCAGAGTGGTGACGTACATTATCGGCGATGAATCCCATCATGTAAACATTGACAATAACAATTATCACAGTGATGGCATCTCCGTTGTAGTTGAAAAGCGGACTTGTAAGAAGAGTTGTCGATATTGCAATGTTGATGCATCATGAAGCACAAAAAATATATGTACCTTGCACGTATCCAGACATACCAATACATCTCGAAGAGCTCTAATGAAATTTCTGTAAGCTGCAGCACAGTCATCATTATGGTCGGTGGCATCATTGGCTCCACTTGGATGGAAGTCAAGACCCTTTGCTACCGAGGTGGCAGCCACGTATACAACAACATTTAGAATGAAAAAAAAGGAACTTAAGGAGGTGTAAGCTGGGAATAGTAAGTGTAAGCCTCCGAGTCTGAAAGTGGTTTGATTGTCACAGGGCTAAAAACCTATTTATATACCAAAAATCACCCCATAAATCCTAGTTTGCACGCACACTCCAAACCCCAAAGTGTCGGACACTTTGACACGTTGTATTACTAGGTTTCTACAAATTTTCGTAATTTTTTGCTATGTATTGTAATTATGGTGAATTTACTAGTAACCCATGCACTTATAGGCAGTTATGCTAGCAAATTGCGTTGGTTTTTGAGACGTCATATTAGATTTTTTTTTTTTTTTTTTTTTTTTACCTAAAACGACTATACATTTTTATTTTATAAAGATTGGTATATCTAGTTTGATCTGTATATTTTTTGTAACACCCTTAAACTGGAGAGAGAACAAGGAATTTAAGAGAACATCATGTAGTTATGGGGGATTGCTGGGAAAGTAGAAAATTCATTCATATGTTGTGGAAGAGATACATAGTTACAAACCACGTTTTTTTTTCTTTTAGCTTTTCCAATATATATATATTTTTCTTGCCACTTAGTATTACGGTCTAATGATATTTCTCTTCATTTGTAAGTGATATATATTAGGTTCGATTCTCGCCAAAGGCGAATTTGAACCAAATATTGCTAGCCTATTATGAGACTAAGCCCACCCACTCCCTTTTAGTGTAGATAATATCGTTTGTTCAAAAGAAACAAAAAATTTGTTTTTTTCATTTATTTTTGTGACAAAATTACCCTTGTTAATTTGTTTCTATTATTGTCTCTTAGTTGTAGAGATTTTTTTTTTCTTTTTTTTGTTAGAGTTGTTTTTGTTTAAAATTTTGGGTGAAGCCTCGGGTCACCAAAATTGATACATCCCGATTTGAAATGTTCACCCGGACATCCGAATTAAGTTGTGTTGGTTGCCCCCTAGAAGGTGACGAAGCCATAAAGTGATGGTGATGTGGAAAGGCTACTAATTTAAATAACTAATTCTAGAGTGCGCACGTGAGCAGGGTTGAACTCTTATCACACAAGTGATGTCAAAGCATACGTAAATTGCAATAAAAGATAAGGTAATAACATTAATACCAAATGCAGGAATCCTCGTACATGTCAACTTTTGCCAGCCATCCTTGTCGACACAAGAGCCTTGCCACTAAAAATCATGTAAGGGCCAAAAACAAGGGTGAGTCACTATAAGAAAAATCGGCATGCACACTAAAAATTAATAGTGCCCTAAGAGGCTTAAGGGCACTAACATATGTGCTCATAGATCAATAGCAACAATGAAGCAACTAAAATGTTATATGTGCCCTCTATCAGCATCCCCTTTGATCATTGGGCCTAATATGTTGTTTTGTGTTCAAATATGAGCACAAATAGCAACCTATTTATTTGTTAATTCTGATAGGTTTGACACCAATTTAATTGATAGGGCACCATTTTGAAATCGTGCTCGATGCTGTGTTTATTACAAAAAAATTTGAAAAAATTATGCATATGATTACATTGGATTTCACGCCCAGTCGAACCATGAAACAGAAACCATTCTAACCATGAAACAACCATTGTAACCATTCTCACAAGCTTAACACGTGGAGTACTAGAAGTGTCTCATGCATCAACATGCGGAAGCATTAAAGAGGCAGGGTCCCACCCATGTGGGTGCTTGTCGACCTTGATGTTGAGCCAAATGGCTCTTATGGTCATGTACGACCTAGATTAAATGGACCAAGTGGTTGATCCAACGGGTGCCCCATTCAAACCTTTTTTTTTTTTTTTAAATTTATATTTATAAATATATTGAATTCAACGACTAAAATCTAATATGATCAAATCCAACGGTAAATAAAAAGATGTAATGGTTCAAATTTAAATGCAACGACTAAAATAATAATAAAAAATTATTTATGCGTCTCTGTCATGTATTTGGTCAAAACCAATTAAGCAATCTTTAACTCAAAATTGCCTCAAAACTCAAGCGACCATGAAATCAAGTCATTTAACATACATGTTTATGTCAAACATTTGAGCAAGAGATATAAGCTGCCTTAATTCTTTATTGTAATAGATAGAATAATGCCTTAATAACTTAATGCCCAAAACTTTCTAAACAATATGATTTTATTTATTTATTTAGTACATCGATATTTTAACACTAAGGGGATGGGGCGTTCAGCTAAACCACAAAATGGGCAGCCTAATTTGGTATCGAATTCACCATCCACGAGATTTGAACCTAAAACCTCTCACTTTTCAAGTGAAGAGGAATACCACCAGACAGTAGTACTGAGTGATTTCTAAACATTATGATTAGTATAGAATTTATACACTTATTGCAAATAAGTTAATGAGTGTGAAGCCCAATTTTCTTTCACTAATTCCCTCACTTGAGCAAGCACTCATTAATATATTCTTTCAAAAAATGCACTAAATAATATTGCTTCATATTTTTGACATAATAGAAAATATATTAACTGACACACCCCAACCCATAATATCCACTAGAACTCCAAATTGAGCTGTGTTGGCCGACATCTGGAAGGTGACGAAACCATAAAGTGTATTGATGTGGATGATGTGAATAAATTTAAACCTAAAAGTGTCTAAGTACAAGAGTGCGCGGTGAGCTGGTATGAACCCATTTCACATGTGATGACTGAGCATAAGTACAGTACAGTACAGTACAGTAAAATAGGGTGAGAATTATACCATCGATGGTAATCGTCTACCCCAAGATTTGTCAATAATCATCGTCGATAGGAAAACTCTACTACTAGAACCTGGAGGGACGAAAAACAAGGGTGAGTGGGCTTGAAAATAAAGTTTTAATAAAAACCCTTTGAAAGTGTTATAACCCCTCGCCGTAAAACTCGTATAGCTTTCAAAAAATAATATTACTACGTAGGTATGAAAACCAATGCACAAGAGCAGCAAAAATTGAAATATGCTAAGTCATAATATCTCAGCAATAATAAATGTAAGCCAGGTGTGAAACCAATATAAAATAGTATGCCAATCGAAATCACCTAACGTGACCTGTACGACTGGACTTGTAACTCATCAACATATGTCTGCACACGAGTCGGAGTCACCTAATGTGACTTATACGATAGGCTGTGTGTAAATAAGTACGCTCAAGTGCTATGATTACGTGAAAGCTGTGCGATAGATCACGGGTCACCTATGAGTCAGAACCACTTATTGTGGTTTGTACGATAGGCTAGCACCAAAACTTGGATCCAAGGTGAGCGTGTGGTGCAGGAGGTGAATAATCACGTGAAAGCTGTGCCCTGGCCTTGGGCGGGAGCACTAACACCGGGGTGCAGCAGAATAAGCTCTAAGTGCATAAATACATAGCAATATGCAATGTAATAAGACCATTCACATGCTAACTCACTGGAAGCTTACCTGAGCCTTCGTAGCATCAAATAGTATAATTCACAATTCATACTAATGCAACAATATAGTAATAAGCGGAATAGACATGGCATACAAGGTATAAATTCATTTAAAAACGTTTTTTTGGAAATCGTAAAGCTTATATATATATATATATATATATATATATATATATATAGAAAACAAATGCCCACTCACCTGAGGTTCGCTCTACAACTCCCTAACATGAATATCGAGACATCACGAACGATCGTCGCCTAGAACAAATATTCAGTCACTTCTTAAAATTCTTATCGATAGAACACGTAACTTAAATAAAACACATTCCCAAGGACGTTCTAAAATGATTTGAGACCCATTGACCAAAAGTCAGTCGTCGGTAGGGTCCACAACCCTACATAACTCGATTCGGAAGATCTGCATCACAGATTTCCAATCCGTAACCTCCAAAGATCCACATTATGCTTCTAAAACATCACACTAAAGTTTCATTACGATCCAACGGTTGGATCTTCGCCAATTGCAAGTGCAAGTGGCGATTAACGTTTTATTTTATGAACTTACAAATCCAATTCGGAAAGATCCGTACATCGGATTCCCAATTCGGAAGTTCCAATGATCCTCATATATTATGTACTATAATGTAGTAAAGTTTGGTGACGATCCAACGATCGGAATGTTTATTTCTATAATAATCAAGTGGCAGTTCCTGTCAAAACTATGCTCAAATGATGAGATTTCATCAATCTAACTTTACCTATGGAATTGGAATATCAAACTTAGCTTAGGAAGGTTAGGGGATGCCTCGGCCCACGCGCCGCCATACACGGCGGTCGGCCGCCCTGACTCACCGGAAAAATCAAATATTTCTGAAAATTCTCAAATTTCACAAAAATGAAGATCTCAGTGAGTAGAGCAAATTTTATACCTGTGGCTAAGTCCAATTTGGCCGGGAAATGCCCCAAATTGTCCTCGAACCGTTGAAAACCCTATAAAGGGTGTTTCTTCATTCGTCCTCAAATCCACTCCGACGCTCCAACCAATGATTGGGAATTGTTTCAGAGCTTAAGGGAAGTTGTTTGATGATGAGGGTCGATGGAATTGCATTCAGAAATGGCAATCGCCGCCTAGGAACTCACAAGATTGCCATCGAAGCCGATGGCTTCGAACTCCATGAAATAGGGCCCGCTTCCTTCAATTTTGGGGTGAAACATGAAGGAGGAAGGTCGTGGAGTTGGTTCCAGGTGGTTAGATAGCATGATTTGCTGGAAAAACCGACGAAAAACTGCCGGAGAAGACAAGAAAACTGGGTAGGGTCGGTAGGAGGAACCGGGTCAAAGGTGATCCAGTGCTCCTCCACTCTCTCCTTTCCCCTCATTTCTTCTCTCCCTCATTGGTCACTCTCTTCATTCTCATCTTTCTAATTGGGTGTCTAGCCCTTCCTTTCTCTCCTTTATATTTCATCTTCACCGCCCATCTTTTCTTCCCTTTAATCTGGGCCACACACGTGGCTCTCCAGATTTTGCTCCAAAAATCTGGAGCATTCCAGAAAATATATAAATGACTATTTTGTCCCTATTTTTACTCGCCCATAACTTCTTCGTTATAGTTCCAAATCACGTTCCGTTTGCGCTCATGTACTCATATCGATGAGTACCATCCAAATATGCCAAAAAAAAAAAAAAAACAGATTTTATGTGACATGACAAGATGGTCAACAAAAGTCAATGTCTTTGCCTCGAAGGCATTTATGTAAATTCACATTAAAAAATTATAATAACTGTAATTTTTTGGGATGGGTCGTTACATCAACACTAACATAAAGTTGTCAAATAGAATTCCCAACAATAAGTATACTTACTTTAGAATTTACTATTGATTAATTCATAAGTTTGATTATAACCAAAAATATACAGATGAAACTAGATATACTAATCTTCATAGAATAGAAATATAGAGCCATTTTAGGTAAAAAAATAATAATCTAAAATCACTTCTCAAAAGACCAACGCAAGCATAACCTACCTATAAGTGCATGAGTTACTAGTAAATTCACCATAATTACAATACATGGTAAAAAATTACAAAAAACTTATGGAAATAGGTGTTTTGGCATGCGACAATCAAATTTTTTTTACCATTTCAAGTAAAAAAGCAAAATCAACAATGCACCATGATGATGAAACTGGTACTTTTTTTTCATTCTAAATGTTACTATATACATAGCCGACACCCCGGGAGCGGAGGGTCTTGACTTCCATTTAAGTGGAGCCAATGATACCCACCGACCATAATGTTGACCGTGCGGAAGCTTACAAAAATTTATCAAAGCTCTTTGAGATGTATTGGCCGGTCTAGATGCACGCATTATTTGAAGAGCTACAATGAAATTTCTATAAGCTACAGTAGGTCATGATTATAGTCGGTGGCATCATTAGCTCCACTTAGATGGAAGTCAAGACCCTCCGCTCCCGGGATGGTGGGCATGTATATAGTAACATTTAGAATGAAAAAGAGTACCAGTTTCATCATCATGGTGCATTGTTGATTTACGTTTTTATTTGCCATGTATATCTATTAGGTTTCTACAAATTTTCGTAATTATTTGCCATGTGTTGTATTTATGGTGAATTTACTAGTAACACATGCACTTTTAGGCAATTATGTTGGCAGATTGCGTTGTCTTTTGAGATGCCATTTTAGATTATTAATTTTTACCTTAAATGGCTCTATATTTTTATTCTATGAAGATTAGTTTATCTAGTTTGATCTGTATATTTTTGGTAACACGCTTAAAATGGAGAGGGAGTTAACAAAGAATTTGAGAAAACAGTCAGGTAGCTGTGGGAGGTTGCTGGGAAAGTGGAGAATTCATTCATATAGTGTGGAAGAGATACACAGTTACAAACCACATTTATTTTATTAGCTTTCCAATATTTGTTTTTAAAATCTTAGTTTATTTTTCATTTATTTTTGTGACAAAATTACCCTTGTTAATTTGAATCTATTCTTTTCTTTTAGTTGTATATTTTTTTTTAATTTTGGGTGGAGCCTCGAGTCACCAAAATTGACACACTTCGATTTGAAATGTCCGCCTGGACACCCGAATCAAGTTGTGCTGGCCACCATCTAGAAGGTGACGAAACCATAAAGCGATGGTGATGTGGAAAGGCTACTAATTTAAACCTAAAATACCTAACTCTAGAGTGCGCAGTGAGCGCAGTTGAACTCTTATCACACAAGCGATGTCACAGTATAAGTAAATTACAGTAAAAGATAAGGTAAGAACATTTATACCAAATGGAGGAATCCTCCTACATGTCAACTTTTGCCAATAATCCTTGTTGACACAAAAGCTCTACCACTAAAAATCCTGCAGGGGTGAAAAACAAGGGTGAGTCGCTATAAGAAAAATGGACACTACACGCGAAATTTAATTGTGCCCTATGAGGCTCTAGGGCACCAACATATGTGCCCATAGACAAATAGCAACAGTGCAGCAACTAAAATGTTACATTTGCCCTCTATCGGCATGCCCTTTGATCATTGGGCATAATATGTTGTTTTGTGCTAAAAAATGAGCAAAAATAGCAGCCTATTTGTGCGTTAATTCTGATAGGTCTTGCACCAATTTAATTGATAGGGCACCATTTTGAAATCGTGCTCAATGGCGTGTTAACTAAAAAAAAAATTGAAAAAGTTATTCACATAATGATATTGGATTTCACACCCAGTCTAACCATGAAACAAAAACCATTCTAATCATGAAACAACCATGGTAACCATTCTCACAAGCTTAAATGGACAAATTCATTCTTCAAAATCATCCATAAAACCAACTCTAACCTTTGGAGTAAGTCTTAAAATTTACCTTTTATTTCTCCCCAATTTCCTTCCAACCTTTGGGCCAATTTGAGGTTATGGGTTAGAAGTTAAAATTGGGCCAAATACCGGCCAGAAAAGTGGGCTGGGTTGGTAGAGGAATCCCCAAATGCATGTGAACACGCCTAACTTTTGCCCAGCGCGGAGCACCAGATGCGCCTCGCGCCTCACGCCTCAACACAAAGAGGCATTAAAAAGGCAGGGTCCTACCCACGTGGGTGCTTATAGGCACTGATGCTGAGCCAAATGGCTCTTATGGTCATGTGCAATCTAGATTAAATAGAACATTGGTTGATCCAACGGTTCCCATTCAAACTTTTTTTTTTTAAATTTTATAATTGTAAATTCATTAAATCCAACAGTTGGAATTTAATATGATCAAATTCAACGGTAAAAAAAAATCTAACGGTTCAAATTTAAATCCAACAAATAAAATAATAATAAAAAATTATTTTTTCATCTCTATCATGTATTTTATATTCTTCCATAGTGCTTCATGAGTATGTTGTCAGTTTAGTAATTTTTCAATATTTATCGGAATCTAAATATTTTTAGGTCAAAATGTTCATAAAATTAAATTAGAATAGTTTACAAATTTTTTTTTTAAAGTTACTTTAAAAAAAATTATTTTAAATTCATTCTTTAATATTTTAGAGCTAAATATTTAACCCAAAAGAAATTAGAGCAGAAAAACTGTTTCTGGATTAAAATATAAATTTTCTAAACTAAAAATTTTAGGCTTTAACCAAGTCTTAAAGATGCTCTAAAAATATAAAATTTGCTTGAAATGTTTACACTAATGCAAACAAAATCTAAAAAAAAAAAAAAAAAAAGTTGAAGTAAAGAAAACAACCAACATTTTTGGACGACATCTTCCTCACATACGAACTGATAATTGCATCTTTCGATATCTCAACTCCCTGTAAAACACATGAACCCGAAATACATTAATACAAGGACTGCATTAACAAACAGCGTGCATGAGGATTCCAGAGTTATTTTCACTAATAAAGGGAACACACAGTGCACAAGAAGATCAGTTCACTTTACCTTCTGAGCTCGGGTCTGCGTTTTCAGCTTGGCCGTGGATGTTTGAAAGGGTTTAAAACTAAATTGGTTCTGTGCTTTGGGTTCGAGTTTATAGCAATGGTGGCTGAGAAATGGAGAAATGATGACTGAGTAAGGTAGTGAGTAGGTTGACAGAGAGAGAGACGTGAGGTAATGGGTGAGAAAGGGCTTGAAAGTATTAAATCAGTCACCTACGCAAATTTTTACACTTCACACCCTAGGTAGGTAGAGTGAGTAGGTAGGGAGGGAGAGACGTGAGGTGGTGGTAGAGAAAGAGTATTAAATCAGTCACCCCATGCGTCTTCGAATTTTGAATTTGCGTAATTTTTACAAAGTTTAATAATATACCTTTTAATATAAATGTTAACTATAGTTAAGAATTAGACATGTGGCACTCTTAGAGGACGATGGTGAGCATCCATCATAATTAATGGTGGTGAGCAAAAATGTTCCTATTCTAAGAAATCATAGTTAAATCTTAACACGTGTCAAATTTTGACTGAGTCATAGTGCCATGAGGCATTGTTAATGGCACATGGAGCCCTACACAAGTTTTCCTCCACCATGAGAGCATAATTAGCAGTTTTTCCACCACATAGGTCAATTCAAAATGAGGAATGCTAGCTATATCCCGCTTGCCGACCCCTACTTGCCTTTTTCACTGAATAGATATCATGTGAACTTATCTTACACTCAAATCTGTGTATTAATTATGTTTAAAACTTCTCTCCTCTTTTCACGAATGCCCATATTAATTCTCACATGTCAACCAAATCATTAAATTGTCTATGAAAAATCTAATTATTTTAATTATTTTTTATTATTCTCATTTTTATTTTATTTTTCTTCCCTTATGATTTTAGGCTTCCGTAATGGACTGCAAGATTTTTGGAGATGACATTTCTTTTGATAAGGCATATACCACAAATAAATAAATAAAATGCCTTTTGCTCCTTTTATCATTTACAATTTATTTTGCATGAATATGCACTACTTGCGAGGAAACTACTCCAACATTAATTTGGTTTGATGGAAACATGGGTTAAAGCAATGGGTGGAAAACCTCCTTCTGCAATATTAATTGATCAAGATAAGCCATGGAGGCTGTCATTGCAAAGGTTTTTCCAAATGTGCGACATAAGTTTGTTTAAAGAAAATATTAATAATTAAAAGCCAGAAAGAGCTTAAAACCAAAACGAAAAAAAGAAAAAGAAAAAAAAGAGAGTCTGAACAATGAATCTTATATTAAATAAATATTAATAATTAAAATAATTAGATTTATCAAATTTGATATATAATCTAAAGATTTGTTGACATATGGGATTTACTTAGGTACAATATAAGTCCGCATACCATTCATTGAGAGAGAAAGGCAAGTAGAAAAAGATAGCTAGCATTTCTCGTTCAAAATTAGTATCTTACCGCGTGGACCATGAAAGAAGTTTGGCCAACAAAAGTTTGACTAAGACCTACTCCAATTCTTGGAGTAAGACTCAAATTTTAGGTTCTAACTTACCCCAACTTGCTTCAACTCTTGGGGGTAAATATGAGTTTTAACCTAAAACTCATTTTTGGGGCGAATTTAACCTATGATTCCCCCTGAGTTTGTGGGGCTGACCCATCATATAAGTGTAACTTGTTTTAGTTTTATATTCATAAATTTATTGAATTCAATGACTAAGATCTAATCTTATCAAATCCAATGGTCAAAAAGAGAGCTAACAATCGAAATTTAAATTCAACTGCTAAAGTAATTAAAAAAAATATTTTATGTGTTTTATATTTTTTGATTGTGTTCCACAAGTTTCATGGTGTCAGTTTAGTGATTTTTTTATATGTATTGGAATCTAAATATTTTTTTGTTAAAATGTTCATAAATTAAATTAGGATAGTCTACATAATTTTATTTTTTTTAATACAAAAGTTACTTTAAGAAAAAAATTATCCTAAATTTATTTTTTAATATTTTCGGGCTAAAATTTTGAACTAGAAAGTTGAATAAGAAAAACTGTTTTTCGGTTAAAACCCAAATTTTCCAACTTAAAAATTTTAGGTTTTAACCAAGGTTAGAGATGATCTAATGAACGAGATTAATAATCAACGGTCAATTTTAATTTCAAATTTCAAATTTGTGACCAGTAAAAGGAAAAGAGACGGAGATTTCAAACCCTCAAACGGTCGATTAATTTCAGATTTCAAATTTGTGTAGCAGTGAAAGGAAGCGCATACTGAAATCTCTCTCTTTTTCTCTCTCTAATGGCAGAGGCACAGCCCACCGATTCCCACGCCGAATTCCCTGGTTCTTGGTCTGGCAACGTTCTTGGCCCTGAAACACACCCCAAACCGGTCGACAATGGCGATGACGACGAAGACTCGACCATCTCTGCGCTCTGTGTGCCCGGTTCGAGATTGGTCCGAACCGGGCTTGTTCACTCCATTTGTTCAGGTTTGTAACAACCGCAATTCCCTCATTTCTTGGAACAAATCCAACAAATTGACCAAATTTGTAGAATTAGGGTTTAAAAATCTTGCATTTGGTTGTGGTTGGTATTTGTTTCATGGTGTATAACTTAACACTGATCTGTCTCTTTTATCAGATAGCATTGTGTTGTTTGTGAACGCCGGAGGGGAGGCCGTTAAAGAAAATATAAATCCCGGGCTTCGAGTGGAGCCCGACGGGTTTTTCCAAGGAGGGGATGTTCTAAGAACTAATGAGACCATTGACGGCAGCGATGTGCCATCCGTTTATCAATCTGCTCGGTTTGGGGATTTTTCATACCGGTTTGAGAACCTATCTCCCGGAGAGTACTTCGTGGATCTTCACTTTGCGGAAATTGTATACACGAATGGTCCGAAGGGAATGAGAGTGTTTGATGTCTTCATGCAGGAAGAGAAGGCAAGTAAATTTAATTAAAGAAGTTTGCTAACATGTTTCTTGTGCATAATTTCGTTGACTAGTAATTTAAAACAATGTGAAGGGAAGAAAACTAAATGAGATATTTTGTTGTGCATAATTTCGTTGACTAGTTCATGTTTCTTGTGCATAATTTTGTTGTGCATAATTTCGTTGACTAGTACATCAAGTTTGGTTTGTTGTGCATAATTTCGTTGACTAGTAATTTCTGAAACTGGTTTGTTTTTCGGTGTGTGAAAATAACAGGTTCTATCGGGAATTGATATCTATTCTATCGTTGGAGCTAATAAGGCGCTACAGTTGGTAGATGTTGCAGTTTCGGTGGGGGAGGATGGGGCAATTTTGATAAGGTTTGATGGAGTTAATGGAAGTCCAATTGTTGGGGGAATTTGTATAAAGCGGGCAGCTTCATTACCTGGTATATTCATATTTCTACTTTTAGCTGGCTATATGAGATATATCTGAACGTTACTTACTCTCCAGACTCATGCCTTGTGGTATGTAAATTGAATGCAGCATCAAAGATTAAACTTGGACATCTTGTATGTAACAATTGTGCTGCTGAGATAGAAATTTCATCTGCTCAGGTTAGATTTAGCATCAAATGGATATTAGAAGATTGGAATACTTGGCGTTTTGCTTACATTGCCTCTGAATCAAATTGCAGGACAAATATATAAGGTTGGAATTTACAACCAAGTATGAAAAGAAGATAGAGGATCTAAAGAGACAGTTCCAACTCAAGACAGATGAATGCCATGAGGCCTGGATGTCACTGACATCTGCAAACAAACAGTTACAGAACATCACCATGGAACTTGATAACAAGTTGTATGAAAGTCATTGCTTAGGTAAGGCAAGATTGAACTAGAAAATAGAGTGTTGAATACTTCCCTTTGATTATCATCAGGGAGCTAGGGTCGACCCGATGAAATTTTAGAACACTTATAAGCTGGAAGACAGATAGTCTTATGATTATCATAAATTCCCTTTCAGATCAAGCTAGAGAAGAAGCGGCAGCAAAATTGAGAGATATTTCTACTAGATATGAGCATGATAAGGGCTTGTGGACCGCAGTTGCTGACAATTTAGAAAGTAAAGTCAAGGTAGGTACACTATTTTCATTTATTCCTTGCAAATTTATGTAGTGGCCCATTTGGTAGGTAGAACTGAAAATGAATGATCTCTCGATCCATTTGCAGTTGATGAAGGAAGACTATGCTCAACTCCATTCTGAAGTGCACAAATTTACTGATGTTATTCCAGAATTCAACAATATGGTATCTGCAATTCAAGCAATGGGTAAGTTTGTATCAGTGTTAAATATGATGTCTCTGAAAAGATATATCTAATTAAACTATTCATATTGCAGTTACACAGTCCGATGAACTTAAGCTTAAGTTCAATGAGGAGCAGGCAAAGAGGAAAATACTTTATAACCAAATGCAGGAGGCAAAAGGTATAGTATTTTCCTCATTTCTTCTATAACCAATACTTTATAACCAAATGTCAGTAGTGGTGAGTCGAATTGGTCCTGCCCTTACCTTGAACTGTATAATTCAGGGAACATTCGGGTGTTTTGTCGGTGTCGCCCGTTGAGGAAAGAGGAGTCATTAGCTGGGCATGCAACAGTTGTAAAATTTGATGCAGCTAAGGATGGAGAGCTTGGGATACTTACTAGTGGCTCCACTAAAAAGATATTCAGATTTGACAGAGTTTACACACCAGAGGATGATCAAGGTATCGTGTACTATTACCACCGTGAAAAGTTTCTACCTTACAAATTACTTAACCTTGTGTAATTCCTTTTAACGTTTGATATTGGGGCACTGGTCAGTCAATGATTTTTACTTGCATGATAATATGTTGACTTAAAGTTTTGTCTTGTACAGTTGATGTATTTGCAGATGCTTCACCAATGATAACCTCAGTGTTAGATGGTTATAATGTTTGCATATTTGCCTATGGGCAAACGGGGACTGGAAAGACTTTCACGATGGAAGGTTCTGAGACCAACCGAGGGGTCAATTACAGGACCTTGGAACAGTTGTTTAAAACCGCTGAGGAAAGGAAAGAAATTTTTACATACGGCATATCTGTTAGTGTGCTTGAAGTCTACAATGAGCAAATCAGGGACTTGCTAGCAGCCTCTCCGACTTCGAAACGGTAAATTTTAACTCTAATACAATTTACTACGGAAACTAAGAGACATCACCTGACTAGCTAGAGTTTTCTTGCTAGCCATTAAAAATTAGTGTAATGTAGATACAGCTTGGTTTGGTCATTAAGATTCAGAGGTTGTCTAGTTGACAAAAAGTTCTCTTTTCA